AATATATAATTACAAATTATCCAATTTATATGTAAGGCTGCAAAAATTTTCAACACATAACATAACCCTGTTTTTATCTCAAAGGGAAAATAGCATTACCAAAATATTCCAGTGAACCAACCGAACACCCGCAAAAAACAACGGATCTTTTAGCGGGATCGCCGTATACCTGCAATGCGATTACTGTAATTGAGTACGCCGACACTCGAAATACAATACAATTGAAATTAGATTGGATGGCACAGAAATAATAACAATTAATATGAACAGGACAATAAAATAGCTACAGAAAAGTAGCGGATATTAAAGCAATAAAAGGTCATCTCTACAGAGAATAATTGAAGAGCAGTAGAATGTCGAATGTAAAAACGCTGGCTTATTTCGATTGTAAATTAAAAAAATTCCTTCTAAAAAAAAAAAATTAAAAAAAGATCAGTTAATTTTAGGGCAACGGAAAAACTGCCATCAACATACAACATATTTCAAACAAGGCAACGGAATATCTGCGGTTCTGTATAGCGATTTCAGAAGTAAAATTGGAACAGTAAAGATTCTCTTATGTACAAAAGGTGCATATGACCAGAAAAAGAAACTCAAGTACCTTTGCCAACTATTCTAGTTTTTTTTTTTCTTCAAATTATCAACTGATTATATACAGATTTTGATCGAAATTCTTTAGCTATTTACTGCCCTATTGGTTACTTGCAGGGTCTATCAACGAAGCGCAATTCCCGAATAACGTAAAACGCAACAATTTTAATAATTAAAAAGTTATCACAATAAATGTACACAGCCCATTCGAAAACTCAATCGTGCAGTGACATATTATCTATGCCTCAGTTCGACGATAGTACAAACGCTCGCCTTCGTGTCGTTAGTTTCTTGTCTCAACGAAAATTGGATCATATTTACTTTGTCGTCAAAATTATTTCCATGGCTTAATCAATTATTAATTATAAAACATTACCTACTTCATTTGAAAATCTCTACAATAATTCAGTTCCAATAATAGTCATAACAAGAAGAAACTAAACGGAAATTTCCTAAATGACAGAAGCCGTTTTAAGAAAATAGCATTTATTCAGAAAAAAAGATGAACTTGGCTAAGATGAAATTATTCATAGTAGATGACATACTTTTGATTAAAAAAAATACTGACGATAATTTTTTGTTTTTGGTGCGATTCGCGGTTTACTAAAGGTGAATATGTAAAACCCCTTTACATACTATCATATATTGGTGATATAATGACGTGACTAACTCTATCTTAGCCAGCGCATCATAGTATAACGTGGTTTTATAACTTTTTAAATTATATCTGACTATCTCAACTTTAATGACCTAATACGGTTGCTTCTAATCACCGCCTATCCTCATCGTTCAATCGCATAAGCTTCGTTGTTGACGGAGGTGTCATGATATCATCGTGGAAACTCCGCTTCCGAGTAGAGGTTGGCGTTTTCATAGGAGTTGCTATACCTGGGGTGTTGTTGTGTGTGGCGTTACCAGACTGTTTTCCATGCAAAATGTGTCGCATTGACTGCGCACGCTCGAGAAGACTCAAATTAACATTATGTACCTGTTTGTTGAAATTCACGGTAGCAGCAGGTCTTAACAAGGACTGCTCGCGTAAGGTTAAAACAAAGGGTTGCATCCATTGATAACAATGATTAATTGCATTTTGATTCAGCCCACTGACCTTCTCCATCTCATCACAACCTAACGTATGAGCAATTACAGATGCCGCTAGATGTAAAGGGGAGAAGCAAACGCTATCCATACAAAGGGTGCATAGGTCGAGTAACTGCGCACAGGCAGTGAAGTCCTGGGGGCAGATATTTGATTTTAACAGGTCACCTGTTGATGAATCCAAACAAGATACTTCCGTGTTTCCACTGATCGATGGGCTTAATTGTGATAACTGTAAGAATAGTGTCAGCCAATTGTTCGGGGTCATCGGGCATATGTCCCACTTGAGGGCCGTCAGAATAGCCAACTCCTTGGCTATTATTTGCCTGTCTTCACATGCTCCGTCCGAAACATAAGAGTATTCATTGATTTGTGGAGGGTAAATTTCTTCCATTTTTCCCGCAATGAAGAGACATGCCACACCGACCAACTGAAGTTGTTCTTTGGGTAAATTTTCCGTAGTAAGAAGATACCTGTGTAAACAAAAACGAAAATAACGATGAAAGCAAGTTTGTCAAGCCAGAATTTATTGACTCCAAAAACGGCTTCAGAGAAAGGAAACTGGCCGATTCAGACGTTCACATGTGGGTGACTCTTTTGTATGATAACTAATAGTGCCAATATACCAGAATCAGTGTTGCGGGCTTAATTCCCAAGATATGTATTCACAAAGTTTGACGAAAGTCTAGTTTTTTTTTAATTCAAATTTGTCATTTGTTATGAAGTACGTTCAAAAAAAGCGGCATAATTTTTTGAAAATTTCTATGCACTGCTACTGAAACCAACATAGATTACTACTGAAAAGAGGTACTTTATTTGTTACAAAAACATCACAGATGTTGTAAAAGGAACGAGCTCTTAATTGACCAGCTTCGAGTATGAAGTTGACGGAGTTCTTTTAAACTGTCGCCTTCACTTCTGGAAGCTTGTTTTAGATTTTTTTTTAGTGTTTTAGATTAAATAATCTTATTTTCGATGCGAATATTAGATTGAATAAATGTTTCCATTGAAGTCGTCCCATCGGCTAATCTATTTATCCGAAACTTCGATTAGATAGTTCAGGAATGATTGTCTCGACTGTTGGGTGTATTCCCTGTTGTTTTCATTGAGCTGTTGTCATTATAAGTGATGATTCAATACGCTCAGTCATTAAGCTCAAAAAGATACGTAACTGAGATTGTCTTTTTTACTATTTTCATGACGGAAAAAGTGCTGCCGAAACAAAAATAATTATTTACGCTGTGGAAGATGAACGTGCAGTAAGCGTTGCCACTTGCGAGTTTCGGTTTAATCATCGTTTAATCTTGAGAACTGGAGGTTTTAACCTGAATGATAAATCAGGCTTCGAATGGCCACAAGAAGTGAGCAACAATGAACTGCAGGCACTCCTTAAGCAAAATGCGACGCAGTCGATCCGACAGCTCTTTGCATAGCTGTCAGAGACCTAGATGACTGATGTCAATCGCTTTTATGCACTAGGAAAGACCGAAAAGAAAAAAGTAGACTTTTTGGTAGTCAATTACTTTATGGAACTCTCTGGATGGCAAAAACCTTCTGACAATAGTCCTTTGGCTGCTTGCACGATGCACAAAAAAACTATTTCTACACGAAATCGTTGCCAGCAATAAAAGATGGATTTTTTACGGCACCTCTAAACACAAATTTAAACGCTTAAACCCTTCCAACATGCACAGTTAAAAGCCGTACCTCTTCGTTAGGGAACTATAAAAAAACTGGTACGCAACTAAATTTAATTTGTCTTAATCGCAAAACACCTTAAACTGGCTAATGCAAAGAATATTGCTGCATCTCAGCCTCAAACCGCGCACTAGTTTGATGACTCGGCAAGCACTAACAACAAACCTTGTCTCGCTCAACGTACAGCTGGAGCACAGTTGTATCTGATTATGACTTATTTGGCCAATACAGCTAAAGAAACACTTCAGAATTCTGAAGTCTGCATATGGGTCGAGGGTGAATTAAATCATTTCCAAGGACGAAACCTTTTTACTTCGCAGAATACATCGACTGCCAGAAATATGAGTCACAGTCGTAGGAAGCGAAAGTGCTACTTGGATAAAAATGCTTTCATTTGTTCTAATCCTATAAATTGGAGTAGCGAAAAAAAAAGCCGGTCCTTTTTGTTCAACGTAAGGGGAAGATAATTTCCAATGAAAAGATAATTTGTTTTGGGTTTGATGGATTTAATCCTATAGATTGAATTTTTCTTCAGATTTCAAAACAGTTGAGCTCCCATCCTTACAGTTAAGTTACAATATTCAGCGTGTACCTCGTTATAGAGACCTAATAACTCCGAGCGGGCAGAGACTTAGTTAAAGTGTATGGCAGCATAAATACACCCTTTACTGTAAACTAACTTAACCCTTCTATGAACCTGCAAATGGGTGCTTGGTCGTCTGTTCATGCGACTTGCGCAAGACGCACATTAACGCGGCTTACAAATGAGCTTTTCTCACTGTAGACATAAGACAATGCAAACCATGTCGTGGTTCGGGGTCGTTCCTAGTTGCCCCAAAGAAAGGCCTTGGAGCCGCTTTTAACGCATAGGTGTGAAACACAAACTTACATCTCTGTTTAGCCTTTAGGTGTATGAGTTGAATATGTGTGATAAAATAATTAGTACACATATGTAAAAAAGTACAGTTGGGATACAAACTCCCGATGACACCTCTGCAATAATTTTTTAATAATTTGCCTAATTGATAACAATAATAACGATTATTATTACTATAAAGAGTTCGCCTCCGCCTTGACCGAGCCTCCTTTATTATGCAACCTGTGCTTCTATCACCCAGTTATTGTTAACGCGGTTCACAGAAGCAATTTGGATTCATCTTCACGAAGGGCAAATCAACCCACCGCCCCAAGTATAGCAGAGGATTCACTCAAACCATGAAGATAGTTCTGACTGTGTTTTGATTTTTCAAAGAATTTACCAGTTATCTACCCCCCCCCCCCCACACACACATTATTAAAATTTTATCACCGTAAAAAAATGCGATTAAAACTGAGTTATGCAGTTATATACCGAGAGAAAATATACGGTCAGAGTAAGCGAAGGAAAACCTTCACTGGGTAAATGCCCCAAAAATCCTACCTAGGTGCTCTTCCGCTTTAAAATACCGACTACGAGTTTTCTGTGGGCACTATACGCATATAATATGCTAATAATGTGAAACTACATACTGCTTTAACTAATCACAACCATAAGAAACTACTAAGGCTTTTAAGATGATGTTCATGTGAAAAAACGCACTGTACCAGCTTTGTGCAACTAGAATCCCAACCGTACTCCTTTACATATGTGTAATAATTATTTTATCACACATAATTCAGCCAATACACCATATACATATATTTAATTATTCATAGAACACTTGCCCTATAATCGACGAAAAAGAATCTTGAAGCTTTAGGAAATAACACTTATATTAGACAACCGAATAGATATTTGCTTTAGGTGATTTCCATTTAGATACTTTAGTTCCATCGATGTGACCGTCTGCAATTATCGGAAAACATCCATTTCCATTACAAGTCACAATTCAGTTTAAGAATGGGTTACTGTTATAACATGAGACCAAAAAGAAGCACGCGTCTTTACGCCTTCGTTTTTGATCCTCGCTTAAATCATACGTAACTCCTTTCTCCATTTTTTTATTTTAGTAGTTTGACCACCATTTAGTAGTTTGAATGAGTATGATATTTTTGCATGCACCAAACTTGTGTGCTCACATCCGTAAGCGTTGAGAATGCCGCAGTCGTGGACACTTAATTTCTCATTATCACATATAAGGGCTTCCGCGAAACTCATTTTCGTATTTAAAATATTTTTTCCATGAATCTTTTAAACCAACGGTTCGCGATGATTTTAGTGGCAGATGCTTCACCAAATACAAACTTTATTTATACGGTAAGCTGTCTTTGCTGCTGTAGTTCCAAGAATTTTATAATTTTGCGCGGCCTTTTAAGATTGAATGGCCCAAGTGAATAGTACCAGATTCCAAGGATTACAAGTGCATCTCGAAAGCAAAAGAAAACGTTGCAATATAACGCGCCGTTATAAAATAACGTTATTATAGAATACAAAACTAACCAACCTAATATTAGGTCGATCCCATTTTCGAATTACCACAATAAGCGAGATCTCAGCGTTTTTGTTAGTCCTTTGTTAGATTTCGACACAATTCAATAAAACCATGAGCACTTCAAATTCCTTATGTAGGGGAGCTTCTGGTAGGTCGAGTTTCTGGAAGTTGATTTCAATGTTACGTTTTAAGAGCTTTGTGGTTCCAAATAACTAGTGCTGCTCGGATATACATCGCCCTTATTTGCAGAACCACATTAATATCCGGACAGAGTCCAGAGTAGGTTTTCACAAAGGTTCAGTGTCACATAAGCGTCTCCAGATTATCTGTTTCGCTAAGATCTATAGGCCAGCTGCTGAAATAAGAAGGTTTTATAAACTGGTTAACCGAAATCCGATGGATCATTTTTCTCAATTTCAAATGCAACACTTCAAGATGATAGCTCATATAATCAAGGGCAGGGCAAGGCTCGTGACTATTGTTGAAGTCGATCGAAGTATGTATACAATGGTTTACCTGCGGACTACGGAGATGAGCATGAATAATGCTGAGATTATTGAGGTTAATATATTTCACGTCAGACAATATAAATTTTATGCGGCTCTTTGGCTAACATTAACGGCATATTTTTGTTATTTTGATAAACCGTTGTTACATTAAAAGCCGCGATTTAGTTACGATAGCCGGCACTGAGGCAAGCCCTGGAGGAAAGTATGCTTGACCCGTTTTGACAAAAAAATTAATCTCATTCGTACTGGATACAGTTAAACGGAGTGACCATTCACCTTTTTGAGAAACCGTTTTTTCGCTGGCTATTAGGATGCAAATAGATGACTGAAAGCATAAAAAGCCCCCGTTCAACATTCAGAATGGAATAGAGAGTGGCTTAACATATCTTCGGTCACGTCATAAAGCCTGCTCCGTATTGAAAAGACCTAATTTATTTCTATGACGTTTGGTGGGACTCTAATAATACACAAGAAAGTGCTTTAGAGGAACAGGACAATCGAGACAAATCTGTATATGCTTTAATAGGATCGAAGCAACTTTTCTGCTGGATCAGGATTTATAAAGCGAAGCTATCCACTACATGACAACGCCATATCTTACATAGCAAAAACTATTCAAGCTACCCTGCAAGAACCTTTCTGAAGTAATTTTTCTGCAATCCTCATACCTCCAGATTTCATGCCGATATATTGCTACTTCTTCTGATCACTAATGGGTGAACTTGTTATATTACGTATAGTAATGGAAGTTTGATAATGAAGAGGGAGTTCTTCAACACTAAACTCGAACATTTTTGGTGGATTGAGGACTTGAGGAATGGAAGAAAATCGTAAAAAGTAATGGCACGCATATTTGTTGCTTATAATACCATTATACGTACAAAAACTACTGAATCTGCCTTTTTGATATATTCATCGGTTTATTGTTATCTCATACATAGCTAATTAATATTACAGAAACTTACCTGTCAAAAAGATCCATTGCGAGATAATAAGTATCCCGGAGTTGATTGTACACCTCGCAAACTTCAATTATCCAATCCAGTAATATAGCTCTCATTTGAGGTTTTAGGGCAGGATGGTTCCGCAATATTCGAGGCAGGTTTTCCGGTCCCCTGGATCTAGATTGTTTTGAGTGTATCACGCTCCATAGATCATCGCCCATAACCCACCGGAGTTGTCGCGGCATTGCTCGAGGTAAGCGTATCAAATAGCTCCGCATCATATTAACTTCGGGGGTATTAGCCTCACGCGACGACATGGATTCCCGATAGTGTCGTTTTTGAGGAGTTTCTTTTGTGGGTGTCATCTAACAATATTACATGATTTAGATAACAAAACACGTTCAGTAAAAAGCCAAAGAAGTTTTTGAGTCAGAATGTGACTCCCTTTTGTGTCGAACTTGGACAAGAAAAACGCATATGCATGTGTTTTATGTGTTATGTATTAGATACCATAGTATTAAATCAATTGATAGAAAATAGTCGATGCTTATTAATCATATTACGTCAATACGAAAGCTACATGTAAGCTGCTCCATGATCATCGAAACTACAATTACAAACAAGTTGTTCGACTATAAGATATTAACTTTTGTGAAATATATATGTATAAAGCAACATTCCCAATTCTATGTATATATATATATTTTTTTTTATTGTTTGACAAGTCGTGAAATGTTGATATGATGACAAAAGACGTCAGCCCTGACAAACAAATGTTCTCTGGTGTCTATTGAATGTTTTTTATAAATTGTGCAGACAGGAATATGGCCGCTAGCTAGAATAATAAAAAAAGAATTAGGCTTCACTTATGTAGCTTTTATGCGTACATTTGAGATTAAAGTAATTCGCAGTACATCTGCGTAATTGCTACTTAAGCAAGCTATAGTAGAAAATAATTAGCGTAATCCTGTATCTTTTACATTACACGAGCAGAGGACGAATATCACAACCTGAATCGGACTTGGTACCACACAGAACACAATTAACGCAAGTTCGGCACAGTTATTGAAAGCAGAATTGCCAAAATGGTTGGCAGATATGAACTTCCTGTCATATCAATCACAGATACGAGCTTCAAAGGTGATAGCAGTTTTTGACTTAACTATTCGCTGAATAGATACAGCACCTTGAAGTAGGGGCGGTTATGTGCGATTTCGTAACAATATACCACCAGCGATTAAGAGACCAATTCATATTTAGAAAGCACTATGAAAGGGCTGCTAGATGAAACGCACTTGATATAAATCGTAGCGATAATCGAAATAGCAGCAAGTACGGAGAATGGGACTATAATTATGGAGACGGCTTTAATGGATCAAGAACTTATAATGATCAAAGTTCGTCCTCAACTTTTAAAGTCGACGCCGCGCTGACAATCCACTCAGGGGCAGCGTTGAAGGCCATCACTTCGCCTGCTATTGAAATGCTCTCAGTGCCACGAAGTATTCAAGGTGGATCACACAGTGTCTGTTTTGTTTGTGGTGAGACCGACATGGCAAATGTGTGTCCCATGTATAAAAGATAGGGCCACTTCGAAACATTCTGCAAATCAAGGAGCAGCTAGTCAAATGAAATCGAGGAAAATGGAGTCAGGTGCGACGAAAGGTACGACAACATCCATTGATCGTATAGAACGCCGATGCTTCTATTAGTTGACTCACGCTGTGCATTATTACTGCTAAAAAGTATATCAATCGTTAATGCTAGAATGTCTACAAATCACATCCACACAGAATCCTACTTATTTTCTAGACTAGGCATACCGTCGAGGTTAAAGAAAAGGCGACTAGCGCAAAAAGACTAACAGGGGTATCAAAGACCTCCAGGTATGAATGGTCGGTAGTGGACAAGAAAGGAATTCTCGTTCGATATTTGATGTGCACGCTCAATCTTTTACTAGCAGTGCAAGGCCGTATGCTTGAAAGAAGCACGAATGAGAAGTAATGGACCTGACAAAAGATTATCCAAACTAAAGATGTTCGTAAAAAAATGAAGGATATGCTTGAAGGCTGAAAAAAATGTAGAAACGTCAAGTTGGAACTAAAAGAAGGAAAGATGTCAAGGCCCAGTGCGGCTAAGTGAGTGGTGCAATGGAAACGAAAGTCGGTTCAAAAGTACTGGAAAAGCTGGTCTGCGAAAGGATACCCAAGCATGCAATAGTAAGAGCAACGCACGAGGATTTAATTCAATATATAAAAAAGTGCCGAACGGTCTCCCTTCGGTTTTGGCTTAGAGATGATACTTAGCAATTTCCTGGGCTGGTGTGCCGGCTAGATGACACATTAATCAAAAGTTCAGGCAATCTGCAATATCATCTTGGTCGAGTTAAAGAAAGTCTTTGCAGAATACTCCAGTTAACCTGAGATTGACTGTAAGTGAATAACTTTATGGTGATTGAATTGCAGATTCAAGGTGAAGCAAAGCTGAGAATGGTTAGAAGCAATGTTTGATAAAAGTGAGGCGATTAGGGACTCCCCAGGACCACCAAAAAGTATCAGGTAAAATTGTTTCTAGACCTTATTAGTCGTAACGCCCGTTTCAGTCCCACTCAAGCTATGAGGCTGCAATCTTTATATAATTTGGCTAAAGAAGACGTCGCACTATCTAAATGTCACGATCGAAAGGAGGCAAACGCGACGTGATAATCGATAGAGATTGATTACGTCCCATCCGAGTCAAATTGAGCACTTGAGGTAAGATGCTGCACCAGTGCCTGTCGGAATTGATACAGTATTGCACCATGTTATTACTAGCCGCGAGCAGAACATTCGCGTTTGCATCGAAAACGCTGTCGACCATCGAACTTAACTATCCAGATAGAAAGGCGCTACCAATTAAATGTGGAGTTAAAATTAGGTTTTGTAATTACCTCTAAGCAACCCGCTTACTTCTGCACACGTGCAATCACGAAATTATATATCTGCATGTTAGCATGAGGTAGAGCAAGGCAGAGCAAACAATGGAGTAGTCATGGAACCTCTGGAGTAAACACGTTTTCTCGACAGTTTAGACGACCCCCGGTTAAGCTATTCTCAAATCGATAAGACCTCGGATAAGGACTCCATATTTAGATCTGGGTACATTTTACGAGCTATCATTCATTGAAAGAGCTATAATTTGGACTGAGATAACGATCATCCCAAGAAGTTTGCAAACTTGGTAATACAAATGCCTCGCAAAAGACATGGTGGCATTACGAGTAAGAAAAAAAAACGGCTAAAACGGTCGTATAGTTCCCGCTGTTTACAAATATCTTTGCATAAAATCTATCAAAAAGGCCAGCCAGCAAACAACTATGATGATTCCAAACCTTGGCCAAACATGGCCACTATACTCGATTGTATATGTTTGGACTTTATGGGCCTAGTGACAAAAAATCAAGGACCAGTGATCGATGTAGTCTATTTAAAAAAGATAGATTCATAGATCGCTTTTTCAACATCATCCGCAGATGTGCTTTAAATTCTATCCCTCGTTGCCTTGTGGCCGATAATGCCACATCTCTTTTAAACAATGAATGATTAAAACTGACATACATTTTCATACTCACCTAAGTTCTAATAACCAAGGGGAGCGTAGTGTCCGGGGATCAAATTTGTCATCAAGACTAAATAAATCGGGTGATTAGCGAAAAAAAAATAACATCATTATTTAATTACTATTGCAGTGAGTCAGAATGTTCAGGAAACGAGAGAACACGAAAAACCGGTTGCAAGCGACCGGCAAGCAATAACAAGCACGCCACCCACAAGGCGAAGGCCGACTAGCTCTATACCGAAGTGGCTTATGGCCGACTGAAAATACCTATAAAGTGCTTTAAGCGATATGAGAACTTTAATTGACAGCAGAGAGTTGATTAATTGTATCTGCCGTATTTTAGAAAATGGTAATTTATGTATATATATATATATGATGACACAATAAAGATTATCGAAATTTTAACAATTACTGAGTCCTCTTAATCTAAACCGAGAAATACGAGGTCAGGCAAAAAGCAAACAAAGTAATGACGAGGATTAGTATTATTAATAACTAATACACAGAGGAAGGAGAATATCATGAAGAAGACCACTGTATGGCAACCTCTCGAGTACACTCTAAAAAAAGATAAGACTATTAAAACAATCAATATATATGCTACATTCGATAACACGACAGGTACATAATCAATTTACAAAGAGCAAATTATAAAATTTAGGAAATAAAAAAATCAGTAGAGGGTCAAACAGCTTATTTTTTTTTATTCACATTGGTGTACAAGAAATCAGTTCATGAACTAAACCTTGTTGAGATTGGAACAACGCTAGATAAAATATATGAAGACTCCAAACACGTATGCCGAAAAAAAATTTGTATGGTCAGATAGAGTACAGCATAACTTCTAAATTTGAGATTTTATTCAAGGAATGTGAACGAAAATGTGGGTTTCTAATTGCCGAATTAGAGCTAGTTTAATTGAAGTATTCCTACGCAGCTTGAAAGACCAACGGGTTTCTCCACAAGTATCGCTGGATGACTTTGTAATTTACACTGTACTTTACAACCTTACATTTCGAGATCGATTTTCAATAATTAACGCTAACTTCTCAGACTTCCAACAAAAAACCAACTTGTTCATCGATTTCAATCACGAAACCACAAAATTCCAAAAATCCTAGGACCCAGAATCACGCTCATCATTTCTGGAAATTCATCTGCCACATGTCCATAAAGTTGAAAAGAAAGTAGACTTCAGATATTCCAGAATACTACTTTCGGTAGTTATAGATGCCCTTAATAAAGAAATGTAATTTGAATAACCGAGGTCAGAAAATTCACCGCTAAGAAAGAAACGAGGTTTGACTTTGACCACCGACACCTAAAGATATGAGTAGGAGGAAACTAAATAAAGCTTAAAAGGTATTAGATTCTAGGTATATATATCCAATTATGCTTGTATAACAATAGCTCTGTCAGCTTCAAAAATAATTAAGTGTGCTTAATCTAGTTTAAAAAAAATACACAGTCAGGCAAAAGGTTAGCAGAACAGAAAACAAACCAATTGCCCTGTAAGAATATAACTTAAAAGTAGTAGAGAGTAATATTAACATACATATAATGAAATTGTAAGTATAATAGTACCATCGCAAGCAAGGAAAGTAAAAAGTTATTCGGTTCTATAATATAGGATAGATGCTGCAAAAAACTTAGTGGCTAATCTATTGTTATTTTTGGAATAAGGAGGTATAGTAGCGCAGCTAAATTACATGTCAGGCCTTTTACCGCACCGTATTGAGTATTATTTGTTAAATTAGTCCGAAACAAGTTAAAAAAAGGGAAGAGAACGCGAACCAACATGCGGAGCGCATGGTGAAAATGTGCAAGCGATCGTAGAAAACCCATTAGTATTACTAATCCAGAGAATGCTGTGTCGTTTATTGTAGGATTTTGTATATATTATAGGCATTCTTCTAAAAAAAATTAGTTCATATCATGCTTTTTCCAAGTCACACAAAAACGCTTATCAAACTATCGTACGAACATAAACTTTTAAGAATCACTCAGTGATGTTTTCAAAAGGACTACCAAAATTTGCTAGTCACTCTGTTACTTAAATAATTCAAAAATCAACCAACCTCTTGTCCCAGAAATCGCTTAGTTGTGACACTTGCAGTGCAGGCGGATCGTCGGCCACAATCACGGAAGAGTTCGCCTTGCCTATCGCGTTACTTGAGTTCTGGCAGATAGAGATTTCTGGATAAAATCCTTGCTTAACGTTCCATCGGTACCCCCAGATTTGTCGAGGTTTCTGTTATAGTTCCAGCGATTGCTCATTCATCGATGAAACGTCTTTCATTGCTTTCTCTACGATTTTTAACGCCTGTTACTGCAAAACACGACGTGCAAGTCGATATGGATTCGGACATGCCCACAGTTTCCAAACGTTCTCAGCTTTCCGACGACTATGTGGCCCGCTTTTAGTTTAAAGATTATTTATTTCAAGAAGTAAAGCTGAAATTCGATTTAATACGTTGACTCGCTCGTGATCATCTGGAAACATAAAAGGTAGATTCATACTTCTTGCCAATGCACAAAAAGTAAAAGCAAACATCATACTTATGCAGAAATTCAGCTCTAACATAAGAAGAGGTAACAATTGGTTTTAATCAGTCATTATTTTTTCTGTTGATATTTTCAACGTTTCTTTCTGGTTAGATAAGACTACTTTAAACATATTGCTAGTACTACAGAATTTTTTTCTGCTTAAACATACTGATTTTTCTTAGCATATATAGAAATATGCTGAAATATTTTATATTTTATTTTGAATGCCTTATAATGAATATTTTTTTTATCACCGTATTAGGCATTTGTTATGAAATGTTGTTACGTATTGTCTCACAGTGTGAGAATCTCGAATCTAGTCATTATCGAAGATTGTTTTGTTCATTCAAATGAGTACAAGAGTATACCTCTTAGTCTATTCAAACTGCTTGCATGTGTTTCTATATTTGTTTAGCTGCGAATTGTAGCAGAAGGCGCAGATGATTGATAAAGAACATCATAAAGTTTAGTGGAGGCAGTACTAAGAACCGCTTTTTACTTTCATAGTGATTAAGGTGCAATACTTGTGCAATACACTTCCAAGAGCTTCATTATATTTGATTAAATGAAGGGTATACATCAGGTTAATACTATAGTATTTACACTTACTAACTTTTATGCTTTAATGCTTTTTCAATCAGTTATTGTTCAGTCAATGTTATTGACGTGCGCTGTATAACACACGGATTCCGCGTTTGTGATTCCAAATGAAAATTTGTATTGTATATCTGGGCCAAGATTTCTTAGTGTTTAGTCGCCTGGTGCAAACGCGAATATAGCTTCCTATTTAATTTGTTACTGCTTGAGGTGATGTACATTTAAATAGATTACAATTGCTGGATAGTATCTCCTTACATTGACGCACTTTCTAGTGCATCAAATTGGGCTCATCCGAGGTAAAGATTGCAAGTAAAAGTGTTCATAGTCTCTCCGCAATCCGTATTTAGTTTTAAAAAAGGTAAACACTATAAACAATATCAATAACTCTACCGGTAAAAAACAAACGACATTATTGTCTACTCTGTGCCGCTTTTTTACTGAGACAAAAACGCTTCGAGAAAGGATAGATATATGTGGGCAATCAGTATGAAATGCGTAATTATACCATCTTCTGCTACTTGGAAAATTATTCCATTGCTGTGAAAGTCAGAGATAAAAGAGTCTATAAAATCTCAAAAGACAATCTCGACACATTATTGAGATATGAACAGTTTTTTTTTTTATCAAAAAGCTGTCAAGATTTAAAAAAAAATAGTTATCTGTGAAAGCAATGTTAGCGTAAACGTCAGCAATAATAGAAGAACCTAGATTCATGAAGTTGTAGTGGATAACACGCTTGCAATAAACCACCAAGTAGCCACCATAAGCTTTTGTAGTAGCACAATAACTTTAAGGTGATGTCTCGTCGATTTAGACACATTTCACCAGTAATGTGACTAACGGCAATTATCGTAGCAGATCTTTTTCGTCACAAGTCGTAAGTTAAATAAAGAACGTGTAAAGTAAGAACGACATAATGTCACAGTAAAGAGAAGCAAGCGCCTCAGCGTGTTAATCATGTATCACTCATTTATCCAGTTTTCTTGCTTTATTAATTTTACCGAGGTTGACAAGTGTAGAATGTTTACATATCAAATTTAAGTGCTAACATTTGTGTGCTTCGAGAAATCCACTTTAACCATAGCTCTGAACGCTGTGCTATAATTCCCCTTGCACAGTGCCCTCCGCGGGGCTAACCTTCTAATTTTAAATTTTCTTCGTAAAATTTTTTAAATCAACGGTTTACAGTGCTCCTAGTCGTAGATCCCTTACCGCGAGCAAATTGTGTATAGTAATTTGTTACTACCGTTGCATTTCCAAGACACAACTCACACTCATAGACCACTCAAATTCTGATCCTCTACTTCCTACTAAAAGCCTAAGCGACCGTGTCACTATAAATTTCTCCATGATCTGAGAACTGTTTCAGACCTCAAAAAAAGTGCATCTTGAAAACAGTGTTTCGAAATGTCACACAGTTTTCAGATAGGACCTTTTTTAAATATGAGGCTAACTTTACTTGCATCTCATAGTGAACGACTTTTATATTTTTTCCATTATTTTGCTTGTTATCATCACCCACAAGTATCAGTATTATCAATCGTGTACTCGTTACGGTAATTGTCGTTGCAATCTTCACTAGCCAAATACCAAATGGAACTATAAAGTATTTAATATGTGTATTTGAAATGTCAGCCAAATAACTACTTGAAGAAACTAAAGCTTTGAACGTACACACGAAAGTAGCCTTATGTTTGAGAATCGCAGATAATGGTCAGAGCTTGTTTTGCTGGTATGTTTTTCGGTTGTTTTCTCAAGTCTATTGTACTATTTTAATCTGACTTAGGTGCGCACTTACCAAATGTGATTAGAAGAATTTGATGTTGCCAGTGCCCTCGGTCTTCAAACTGGATAGAACCTAAGGGAAACCGCGACTGCAGAATCAGTACACGCTGTGAAATTCGAAAATAAACTCGGACTATTTGCTATTTAATACTAGAAACCCTAACGGTATAAAAACTCGTGTATTACTTGTAGTAGTTATTCACTGGGCAGACTGGTTAATACCTAAGAAGAATCTCAGAGCAATTATAGGGATCTACAATTGATAAGTAAGCGTGTTTTAACCGCAAATAACATGAAGGAGTTTCCCAACGATTGCAATTCGATCAATCGGTTACATATGACATAAAGGCAGTACACTAAGACACAAACCTCTGAAGACTAACTTGACTTAAATTCATCTTCTGGTGCGACTGACACCGGGCGCCTAAATTTTGTTTGACTCGATTAGCAGACGAAAATGTCCCGCCGCCACAGTATCGATACGCAGAGGGCGCTCTCAGCGCAGCGCGCCAATTTTAAACAATTAATTTTTAACAATTTAAGAAATAATATTAAAAAAACAAGCTATATTTTCATAGAGCTGTATATTTGGTGAAGTACTTTGTTACATCATGAGTAATATGAAAATTTATAAAGGTAGAAAATTACAAACATTTCCGCTTAATAGGCGATTAGGCGTTAAAGGAACTTAAAGGATTTATCTAAATGTTCGCATTTCCTTGATATGTACCAGAATATGAAGAGTACTAGTGAGAACCTATGAAGTTAGGAATGCCCTTTCCCCTTATGTATTTAAGTTTTCAGAAAGTATGGAATGTTTCCTTTCTCGGCGTCCGCCGTATGTTCTGTAATCGATTTTTTACAATACACATATAAGTTGGTTGCAGTTACAAAATAGGGATTAAACTGTTCTGTTTCACAATGCTGTTGATACACACTGCATTGAAAGACACTACGACCTGGCAGCCCTATGATACGAAACCTTTCTTTTAAATTAATTGTATGGCGAGCACATTGCAGCATCATATATTTATTCGGCCTTTCGTATTTGTGGATTACCCTGTCGCATACGAACACAATACAATTATTGGACTGTTTTTTTGCCGGAGAAAATACTTTAAAATAGTGGCTTCAAAATTATAATTTTTTTGCAACTATCAAGCCTGAGTCGCAGTTTTAAACACGTGTTATGACAGCATTCGAGGGCCACCTACTTCTCGTATTTCGGTTTGTATAAAATACATGTTAAAAGCCCGTTTCCATTTTGCTATGTTACCCAAATTGACGTGTGACTGCCACTCAATGAACCAGGGGTTGTATCATTACGTGGCTGATCTTAGATCGTAAATCATAATAAAATATTTGTAGCAATTTTATTTTAATGTTAAAAAGCAGACATAATAAATACACGGTTTGCATTCAGTGAATAGGACCGTTGATTGGTAGATCGTAAGTCTGGGTACTAAAAACTATTGCACCACTAATCTTCATCCAATTTAAACGGGTGTAAATGGAAGCAAACTCTTCTCGACTCACCTTCAGTTTTTCTATCGGAGTAGTGGTTATCACACAATCACATGATCTATATTAATAAAATAGCTATACTACTCGTATATATCGATCTTTATTGGCAAAGGTGATATCAAAGCTCCACAGACTTCTTAAAAAAAGTTTTGTTTGCTGATTATTATCATCGTCAAAGGTTGACCCAGAGTTGTATACTAGTAAATGTGGGCTTGTTAAAATCTCTTTCAAGTAAAACTCTTTATCGTTTTCGTATGAGCGTTTAAACGTTTGCCAGCGTAGCTACCCTAAGTCACGCACCGGTAACGCAATTTTTAGTTTCTCAGAGACGATATAGAGAATTTGCTTGGACTTACCGGTTTAGGGTGACCAGATGTGCTTTTGGGAATCCCAAATTGGTCACAATATTTTGTTTAAAAAAAAAAAAGAAGAAAAAGGTGCATCTCGACGATGCTCTAAACAGCAGTTCTGTTAGATGCAGAGGCAATTTTAAATATGTTCGGCATTAATGTTCGGTAAGTAAACTAAAATGTCTGTTTACTCAAGATGGTAAAAATTAAGCTAGACGTACAACATGATAAATGTGTGCCGCATTGAAACATAAGATCTGTAGGAGAGGCTGTTGGTTAACTGCATGGTTAATGAGCTGGTCATGGCAGAAGGAATCATTCTGAGAAAATTGGCTAAAGAACAAAAAGGTTTGCGTTAAAGGAAGAGGTAAATAGAAATTGAGCTGCAGAGGTACATTTTGTAGCTAATATGTCCGAAACTACTGTCAATCAGTTGACGATCAGCAAGGAGATACCAGCTCATGTCCAAGCTAGGCTGTGCTAAGTTTCTGAACAAATCTCGAATAACTTGTGCTGCACTTCACATGGCGGATCGGAACTAACCTTGCTAGCAGAACCCGAAATAAAAAAGCTGCACCAAACTGGTCCAGTGGCATCAAAACCAACAAGCTTTCTTTATCGGAGTGGCACGTGCAAAATAACCTTTGCGGCTATGTCCTGTTGCAGTCGCTGTACACATTTGCGGTACTACTACTAGTGAAAAGCATGATTTAGAATCTACTGAGCGCGGTTCTTGGCTTCGTACGAATGTTGTTTTCCAACTCCAACCAGAGTTATTTATGATAAATACGAATAATATTACCCTGATATTGCAATCAATGTATATAACGATGAAGCATAAAAAATTTATAGGCGACAGTGCGACGTTTCCATTATTCTATAATCTAATTAAGGCAGACAACAGATAGGAAGCACAGTTGAAACATACGAGCTGACAACAAGTATGTCTGTAAGAAAAATTTATCCAACAGTAAGGGGCACGTCATTGTGACGGGAAACAGCTCGTCGAAAAACATCCTATTAGAAGCAGTCAATATTGTATACTGTGTTGGTGTTTTTTGGTTACTGGAGGATGTTCTCTAAGGTAAGCCGTCAAATGTGGTCATCAATATAAAGTACGGTCAAGAGATTTCTGGAAAACCACGTTCTTGCGTATATGCCTACTCCTAGTCAACATCTATGAGCGAATGGTTAAATAAACGCATGAATAAAGAAAATGCGGTAATTTCAATGATGTAGCGGTCTGCGGCCGGACAAACATAAATGGCCTCGCGGAACACCTATAATTGAAGTTCTAATTTATGGAGTTCTTGCCTAAAGTATGCGAAAGTTATTTTTCGAAACATTGCAAGGTATCCGCTACAGCTTGAGAATTTTTCTACAATAGAGGATGAACGGTAAGAGTAGACAACACCTTCGTTTACGTAAATGAAACTGACCCAAATAATATCTTTGGAAAGTTAAATTGAGCTTCAAAATCCATTGTAAAGTAGCCTATTATTTACATGTCAAGTAACATTTGCAAATCATTGTCGCGTAAATCTAAATCTACTTCGGGTGACATATTACACACTCGAGATGAACTCTTTTTCGGCATTATCGTGTATTAATGAATAACGAGTAATATACAGATAATAAATTGTCTATATATAAAACTGAAATAATAATTACTCAAACAGCGTTTTCACATTCGTTTTAGATAAGCACAAATTGCTTTTAACCTAACATGGATGGTTAATAAATATACCTAACATGGCTGGTTAATAAATAATAATAACAATAATAGTAGCACATATCGAAAACCTGTATCAAAAGAATATATAATCTTTAAACATTCTAATATTAAGCCTTTATGACAAAGATATTAATGTAAATAATATTGCTTGTACCAATTGTGAACTCTATAGCCCTCTTAAAACATTCCATGAATTCCCAATCACGCTATGTATAGATTAAAGTAACCTTTATCGCCAATTGCCTTACTGTTTAGACAGACTATAATATTCGCGCTATTATCGTTTACAGCACCGCTCCGCTGCAATCCCATACACCAGCTGACCAAAGAAGGTGTGCCGCATATATGGGGTCACCGTCAACAAAGCTCTGCGTTTAAACAAAAGGCTTGCTGCTTCTACCGAGCATTGCAGGACGTACAGGTAGGATTTTATAAATATAACGATCTTCGTCACCTCACGCAAGCGAATTACCTGTTAACTGCTGGATCATATATTCAAACAGAAATGTTGGAAAATAGCTAATGTGTAATGTTATGCAGTAAAGTGAAATAATTTGTATTAGTGTTTTTGCAAGGTGATAAGGTAACTAACAATTAATTCGCTATACGCCTGGAAGCAGCTTAGGGCGCGAAAAATAAAGTAGTGTTTAAATATAGTTCTCAAAATATAAGCTTTGGGACGACAATGTTTTGCTGAGGTAAATTTATGAACCAATTTTGCTCACCAACTGTTGTAAAATATTAGAATTTTGCAGCTCGTTAGCAAGTATGAGCCTTCTCATTGTTCAGAGAACAATGCCTGTCAGCCGGGCGATCCTTCGCCAAGCACTTTTTAGAAGTCGTGCCGTAACGTCCACTACCGTTACGACTTCTGCATCTTCGATGATGATCTCCAAGCGTAGCTCCAGCTCAGGAAATTTCACACCACTGTGGACTATGGAAAGGGCCGTTTCCGCTGGTCAGTATTTATACGCACGGAAGTACTTTAATCCCTAAAATGTCTTTTGAGGAGGATGATTGTAAAAAATGGAGAAGTTCGTAGACTGGCATCCGAATTGTAACGGAATTTTTCTTCTTCATATGTGCGTCATTTTTAAATATATCTGTTTGCGTATATTGTGGCGCTGATACGACAGGATTAACGTTTGAATACTCGGTGGTCTTGTAGATTTACAATAACTGCTCTCAGAGCCTACATCCACTTTCTATTCTAGAGCATCTTTGTGAACAATATGTACATAGTAATTAAAAATAAAGCATGTAATGTTTATTTTTAATGCAGGACACATGCTTTTATTTTTGACTTGAAATGTGATTCTACAGATAGAATTCAGACATGCTTTTTATACTAGCATTTTTTTCAGAAGCTCAGTCCCGTCACATTTGGCAGGCCAAATTATTGCCACCGTTTTTAGAATTCCTTTAGCAATTTAACTTAGCCTACAAAAGGGCTTTCTTGGTGTGTGTCAAGCTCTGTTCAAACAATTTAGCCATCTGATATAGAACCAAACCGATAGTTTCATCGGTAGTGGAAATTTAGAAAACTACATGTATATCTGAGTATATTGTCAGGCCTCAGGCAATATTGCTTCAATTGTAGCACACCGTTGCGCACTTCGTAGCCCAGTGTATGCTACATGTTTTATAGCCCGACTTTTTTAAACAATATTAGCTTATTAGTAAAAGTAGTAATATAAATCTAAACAATGCGTTGGCTATAACTTTACGATCCTATGGTCGAATATATTTTTTTTTACTAAAAATTTAAGTAAAATTTAACTGTTTCTAATATTTAGATATTATTCATCTAGGTCTCGTAGGGATCGTTCCTATTGCCCTCATGATGCCGAACCCGGCTACAGAGTTCATTTTAGCGCTTTCCCTTACTGCTCATATTCATTGGGGAATAGAGGCAGTAGCCGTTGACTACGCTAGGCCTCGAGTTGTAGGCGAGTTCTTGTCGAAGGTGAGAAACCCTACTGTAAATTAATTTGTGGAGTTCAGGTTCAAGTCCATGTGTCATAATGTGATAATCCATATTATATTCATTATATGGTTCGATTTAGTTAGTTCAGTCGTTTGATAATATATATACAATGGTACGCAAAATATGTTGTTGTACTAAAATTTAGATGTTATAAACTTTCCTACACAAATCGAGACCAATTGCCGGTTTACTGGTGAGATAACAGAATGAGTAGACACGTGCCGGAACGCATGTAGTTTCTAAATGTAGAGCTTCTGATTTGTTTGCTATAAGTAGAACTGTAGAGTTACAATACTAAAATAGTACAGTGAAAGCAGTCAAATAATTATAAAGATACGATAGGTCTGTCAATGAACTATGAATTTTCCTAGCGAATCCTGTACAAAAAAAACATATCCCATGCACGTGACGTGGATTTTTTTTGTATTTGAATGAATTATTCAAATGCATCATATATTGTCGGAAATACTCCGACGATTTGGATTAGTCTGAATAATGAATACGAATTTTGATTGTTCTTCCTTAGCGAATATCGTAGTATTAAGTAAGGAATATCGTATAGCGTTATAGCTTTAAAACGAGGTAGATTAGAACTGATTTATGCGGTTCAGAGATTAACTCTAGTGGTTTCTACTATATTCTAAAACCCCCGTAGTTTATCAACGTGTTTTCTGGTCCAGACAAATCTCCACAAAGTCCACGTCCGGACAAAGAACAGCTCCAATAATCTCGACTAACTTGGTCCCATGAGAATTATCTTTGTCTACGAAATAAAAATCACTTTGTCAATCTGAATTGCGCATGATACCAGATAGTGCTGGCAAGTTAGGTATGCCACCTTTGTGCAGATACGTCACTGAGTATGGCTGTTTTTGATTATCTGTAAATATTAAATCCTTTAAAGATGCAGGTAAATTTGAGAAAAGGTGACGCTCGTTTGGTTCCGATGCTTATTTATTATTAGTGCAAAAATAAGCACGCTCAGTAACTACCATAGTTTTATAATAACTAATTAAGGTATAATTATTTTCGTATTAGTAGTTAGTGAGTTGTTATCATGAGTCAGGACTTAATATTTTTATACAAAGACAGCCGTCTCTTACTAATACAATAAAAGTAGTAAGTAATTTGAGAATCTATACGAACTTTACCTGTCCTACTAAAAAAATTAACTCGTGTTCAATTTAACAGAGTGATATTCGGTTGTATAAGCCTAACATTTTTAACCATATTTTTCTTTGTGCGGGTATAATCGTCTATATTTGTTTTATTTATACTAAAATATTTTTGTTTTTTTTCTTGATTTGTATATTGTAATTAAGGTGGCTATTGGCACTGTCTACGCGCTGTCATTTGCCACCCTTGGTGGTCTTATGTATTTCAACTTCACCGATGTAGGACTCGCTCACGCGATTCGTATGCTTTGGAGCTTATAAAGACGATGCGGTACTTAATTACGTCATACGCCTTTCATGAGCCCAGGCCAGCTACACCAACGACGAAAAGGATATTATTGGATATGTGCCGACAGAGTTAATACAATAGTCGAGAGTTGTAGTTGCTATAATTAAACACGACCTATATATTACATAATCGTTACAGATAGAATATAACACGTGAACGTCAAAACTATTGTGTATTTGATTTATCTATATATTTGCGAGTCCAAATGGCTTATTTTACCAGAATGGTAATACAGCGTATTTGTTGGGGCAATCTCTCACGTATAACATATCATCAAATGGGAGCACTGGAAGCAGATGCCAATGATCGGTAAAGGTGATAAGTTATCGGAGCGAGTTTTGAAAAATACTTTGAACGCAAAAGAACGCAAGTTTTTGCAGAATGGTTTTTAGATTTATTGCCATGTGCGATTTGGCACTGTTTCGAAGAACCAGAACTTTACCTTTTCTATCGGATAGTCTCTTTCAGTCGATGCAACTGAGTCATATCTCATCCGATTTGACTATGGCTTTGGCATATTTTCCAGAGCTACTCATCCCCTTCTTCGCTTTATATCGATGTGAGGATACTTCTTCACTTTACCGATGACCTGTAATTGTAGCTCCGTGTTGCCTTGTGCCGGACTGGGTGTTGAGGATCAATAGGAAACCTGTGTGCTTTACAGTGCGTATGGCGTGCCCTTTGCCCAGTGTATGACAAACCCAAGGTCCTACTTTCTGATAAAACTGCGTACATCCCAGATGCCTAAACAAATGTTTCGAGTTTTACGTTTGGTACCGTTAAATATTGCTTCAGACACGTTCAAGATATCTGGTCTTGGCGAATTATTATCTTTATCTTCTGGATGAATTAATACTTGCCATCCAAAGTCCTCATTTTCCTTGGAAACAAGTAAACCAACAATGGAGGAATATAAAAACGAGCTGAAAGTACTAATGTTACAACCTGATATGTATATATGCACATATTGTATAAGGACGATTATACTCATTGTTTGAACCTTCAGTGACGTGGAGTCCCGGTTTGATGATCGCTAGTTCGGTGCTCTCGTTTGCAACGACCGTACTTTGACGTTACGTACTGCTACCATAATGCATCACTTCCTTGATTCTGGAGAGGCTCGTTAGCGACGGCCCTGACCAGTATCTCATGATATGTCAGATAAACGGACGGTTAACGACGTACTTTAGACATTCCGTGAGGAACTGATATTGTAAACGGTTGAACGTCTTGTGCCTGAGATGGCAGCCGGTTGGCACTGTGATTTCAGCGCGATAGAGTTCCCAGTTGGTGATCACAAGAAAATATTAGTTGGTGTGAAGTTGTCGTATTTCCTAAAATGGTTTCAATTCAAACTTTCTAACTGAGAGTAAAAAAAACACTGCAGTCGGATGGTCGTGATGCAATGCCGGGCTGGAATCCTGATTGGCCTCGATGCAACAACCGGGAATCGTATTTGCGGGCATCATGTTCTGAGGTGGTATAATCGTTCTATATTTCACTTAGGTCAAAAAACTAGCACATAGTGTTGGAGGAAATAGATTAGTTCTCTATGCGATTTCTGCATTTTAGTTTAGCCCCACCTCGCCAAGCTCTGCTTGCTAGGCCTGCATGAGTGATATTTTTCCCTGAGTCTTCACGGGGTTGAATCTTTATTCGGTTTGTATTAAACCAGTGCAGTCCTGATAATTCCCGATTTCCTGCAAAACTTAGCCCTTCCGCCACTGTTGTTTGGCATACGTTCCTCCTAATTCCTCGAGCAAACTTTCGGTTTGCAGCCGCCAAACTCGAGGGTCCCTGCTTTTCTCGTCCAACTTAGTTTAAGGAAAAAAATGCATCTCCCAGTTTTTAACCCGCATGGGCTGCAGATTAAAAACTGGGAGTACACATCGCATTGATTAAATATGTCACCTCATCGGTGTTTAACATCACGATTATATTTGCCATTAGTCATATTTATATGCCTGTAAGTTTTATGGAATCTGTGTCAATATATAAATTCAAACTATTCATAGTTGTATTGCAACAGATGTAATATATTAAACAAGTGAGGAAATCAGGTTCACCGTGTACCCATTTACCTCTTTGTTTTCGAAGTCTTAACTTTTGAGAGCATAAATTACACACTCACATTTCGTCGGATTTCTCAGAAATGATCTCTGCCACCTTGATATGACTCAACGTGCTTCCAGTGACACACCGTGGACTATGCATGTTCGCGACTACTTATCTCCAGCTTCTAAAACCAGGACAAGCTTCGATTCCTATTTATGCGTGTTTTTCTGAAAACTTGACCTTTCCTCATAGCCTTCCTTCACGCTTATTACTTTATTTATCCTATTTTCATTGCCATGATGTAAATCGCGTTTTGACGCTATTGAGATACATATCAAATAATTCTATCGGCTATCTAGTGTCCCCAGAGATTAATGCGTGAAGGTACATCTCTAGAGTAAATTTTAAGGTTCGCGAGCCTCCCAGAATTGATTTAGCAAGGCCTGCATCGCCGCTCGAAAAATAGACTGCATATAAAGTTTCAAGGGCGACTTTGGTGTCACCAACTATAACAATGCTTAAGCAACAAATATACTTTCAAATCAGGAGACGTTTTGTCTACTTTCATCAATCATCAGTCTGCTGTTCTCTTCAGCACTTGCAGTTCCTACAATGCTATAGATTTTGAAGTACATTTTCATAAATACTGTGTTAAAAAAGTATGTAAAGGTTCTATGCCAGCTGCACATGCTTCAATTATCCAAATTTCTATTGTCTTTGTCGATGTAATTCCCGCAAAATTTAATGTCACTAGAATGCCCGGACTTTTTCAGTGCAAATATTTTAATTATGCCTGTTTTTAAAAGTGCGAGTAATAATCGGCGGCTGATTTACGCACAACTTTTTAAACATCACCTCTGAGTTGTACTCACTTTCTGTTGGTCTATTTGTCAACTCTGTTAGAATACGCAGCCCGATCTTTGTAATGGAGCAATAACAAAACAACTGCGGCGAAAAACACGGCAGTGACTTTTGACTCCCCATGGCCTAAGTGAGCGCAAACGAGTCTCCGACGTCAGGCTCCACAGTTCAAAAGGATCCCATTTTCTATGCGTGCGATACGATGAAAGGTTGCATGGTCGCAAGCGATGTAATGAATGCAACAAAGCATTCTACTCTGCATGCCGAACAGCTGTCGGGACAGACCCGCAATCGAAGCCAACGAGGAAATGACTGCGGTTTGCGTAGTTGGCCCGTTATAAACAGGTTAACTATAAAATGTAGGGACAGTAAGCCGTCGAAAAGCGAATTTATGTTATTACCCGTAGAGCGATTTCGTCGACAAAAACGGTGTTGGTTGTGAACGACGCTATCGACGGATCCCTCAGAGCAGCTTTGAGGGATTTCATGCTCTGAAAAACATTAATTGTAATCCCAAAGATTGAAATTGTGAGATGGTCGACGCAAGAAAGCCCTTCAAAATTTCAAATAGCAAGTTGTTGTCCTACAGAACGAATGCATTGAGTTCGAGAAGTACCAGTACATAGAAGCAGTTGAACCGTTTGCTACGAAAACGAAAGGACAGAATCCAAACAGCACTTCATATCTGTCACACTCGTCAGGATAAGCTATAAGGCCACTACTATACTTGCCAGACAGGTAACTAAAGAGAGTGAGCCCTTCAATATTGTGCTTTTTTCAATCACACATATTAAAATTACTGAAAGTAGTCGACACCAGAGTTGCAGAAAACGCTACAGATCATTAAGTAGAACTGTAAGGGCTCCTTTAAATTGGCGTTGTTTGCAGAGAAAGTCTAGGAATCAATCGATATCATATTGCTCACGGAGACATCGGCAACCGCTCTATTCAACTTACTGAGATTTAATTCCGTCCACTGCCTTGCATAGAAAGAAATAAGCCCTGGGTGTCTCAGTGGCGCAGTTTATGTTTTACAATCATGGAGTCAGGTACTTTACTTCGCGTCATATGGAGAACAACGTTATTGCCTTCTATGGCCCTAGGATACGGCTTATAATGCCGTGAGTGCGATTAAATGATGAGAAGTGCACCCAAGAAGAAGCACTTTACCCTCACAAAGAAACTTCTCAGTGGTCTACAATCTGTCATTGACTCTACTCCAAGAACTTCCACCATCGAATCAAAAGACCCCAATACGCGTCTGACCCGGGTTATTTTAAGCCGTACGTGAGCTTTTTGCTAGATAGTCAACCTAAGCACAGCACTAACTTTTGTTGGTCTTGCAGGAAACTTTGTTTAAGATATTCTTGAACTAAATACGTTGAAGGGAATCACTCTCTTTGTGGAAGAGGACAACTTAGACACACATCCCCATCGGATTGACTTTTACACTCTCCTTGCCAGGAGAAATAAACCTGTATCGCTAGGTAACGCACGAAGAAGTTTCTGAAGCGGGCTCACGGGGTTTTCCAAATGCTAAACTTTGCTAATGTTGAGGTCTATGCCTGTCACTTATGTCGATATTCTACAATTTTCAGTTTGTTCAGCCCGCTGTAGAAAATATCGCCTTAACTACAATTGCTACCTTGCTTGCCAAGGATTTTTTAGAATGTGGGCAACAGTGTGACCTGTAGCGGAAATTTTTGTTTGTAATGTTCATAGTGACCTGCTGGAAACAGTAAAGAGAGGCTGAGCGACAGTAATAAAAATGGCTTGGTCCGTGCAAGTGTTCCATCAACTCATCATAGCTGATCGACTATTTTGTCGCGATGCTTTCATCTACCGCCACCGTGCGAGAGGAGAGACGCTGTTTAGCACAAGGTAAGACGAACAGACAACGGACAAACGTGAACCGCTAGGTCAAGAGTTCTTCGTTCTGGAAATGACTTAGGCGCTAAAGCTTACGCACAAAGATGGCAGCTGAACTACACAGAATTTATATATAAAACTGATCTAGAGCTGACGCCATGCTCGACTGCTTTCATCTACTAATGTCTTCGTTCCGGACTGCTTCTTTCTCAAGGGAAGGATAAAATACTAATTGTTATTTCTAAAGGCAAAAGTGATCCAATCAGTGATCATCATAGTACGGGATCGCTAAGAAGTGTTTGCTGTAGGTTTCATATCTACCGGCAAGAAGATTAAGTGCGTTTGTGGCGAATGTGAGTACGATACTCAAGGAGTAGC